GCAAATGGAATGTCCATTATTTTAAGATTTCCTTAGTCTTCAATAAGAATTTGATTCCTCTTCTGTAAGTTTTGTGCTATATATTTACCACCCATTGCCTCTTGTATAAACACCAGGTAATTTATACCTTGGTGTCTCCCCTACTCCAGTTGTCTTCAGATCATGTCAGAGAATAAGATCTGGACTCGGTTTAAGGTTGAAATAATCTGAAATGACTCAAGTACCTACCAGCACTGAGCCACATACCAACAACTCAGGGAATATTAACTTGGTGCTGGAAAACCTTTTGGAAAACAAGGCATTCAAAGAGCAGTTGACATAGGTTATTATGTAGTTAAATGCTTTTGCTTTTGGTTTTAATCATGCACGATTGCAGCTCCTACCTTTTACCTAGATTTCCAAAGCAAACCATTCAAAATTGCTTACTAAGAACAGGCCTTAATGAATGTATTTACTAACTCTTTCACTAATCAAACATTTATGGAATACCTATTAACTACCACAATAATCCTAATGCCTAAAGAGGAGAAAAAGAGGAAAGGATAAGAAAAATGGCACAGAAGAATACACTCTTTAAAGAGAGCAAAGTCTAACAGACTATAAGACAAGTAAACAAATGAAAATATAAAAATAGGCCAGGCCTGATGGCTCATGCCTGTAATCCTAGCACTCTGGGAGGCTGAGGTGGGTGGATCACCTGAGCTCAGGGATTCTAGCTCAGCCTGAGCAAGAGTGAGACCCTGTTTCTACTAAAAATAGAAAAACTAGCCAAGTGTTATAGTGGGCACCTAAAGTCCCAGCTCAGTGCTGGGAGGCTGAGGCAAAGGGATCTCTTGCGCACAAGAGTCTGAAGTTGCTGTGAGCTACAACATCATGGTACTTTACTGGGGCACAGAGTGAGACTGTCTCAAAAATATATATACACACACATGTATATATGTGTATATATACAAACAAAATATATATAATTATACACACACATACATATATAGACACATATCTAAATAGAATTGTTCATCAAAGCTATTTAACATTTCTTGAACTAAATCCCATAGGAGAAGTACAAATAAAAGTCTATAGGAATATGTAGTAAGGATAAATATCAGCTGGAGAAATCTGGGAAGACGCGATAGGAATGTCTGGTATTTGAGAGGAGATAAGGACACCAGTGGGGAAGTGGAGATAGGCTGGACAGTATTTTAAGTAGAGGAGGAAAAAGTGGGAAAGCATTTGACCTGTGGGGTGTCAAAGGCAAGTGGTAGAAGAGAAAATTCTAAAGAGTGGCTCTGGGAGGAGATACGGAGGGTCTGAACCAAAACTGGAGAATCATTGTGAGGAAAGAAACTTACTTGCAAATAATACTTCCCCGAGATTTACTATGACAAGGTTTAATCTGCAATGAACAGGCGACTGCTTTCCACATCTCTGGCTGGCACTTTTTAATATCAAGAACAGGTATATTGATAAATGGCATCTTTATGCTTCCCTTCTCCCACAGCTTCATGTCATTCATGGCTCCTTGATCTGACTGAGCATTACAACTCCTGAAAAGTTCTGTTGGCCTAAAGAGAAAACGGATCAGAAGGAATCCAGAGACAATTATTTTCTAGAGAGAAGCAATGAGTAAAATCTTGATACGCTAACATATCAGGAAAATCTGATTTTCTTAAAGAAAAAAGCACAACCCATTTAAGGCTATTCAGTTTCGAGTGTATGAAGAGTCAACATAGAACTAGCATTAAGACTCTGATTGCGTGCGTGCTTCTTAACAAGTTTTTGTCAGGCAGTTGAACTTTAAAATGCTCTAGACAGATTATCTCTAGACTGTCCCATTTCTCTCATTTCACAAAATAAGTACAGGAGAGCCTCTGTAAAGTGACCACCCAAGGGGCTGTAACAGACTGGTCAACATACAGAGGTGGTCAACACAAGGAGCTCAGCCTACTAGACTGATAAGTACGTGGACTTTACTCTCTCATCCTTTCCCTTCTGTTGTCATGTATCTATCTTCCAGGCGTGTTATAACCTCCATGATAAACTGCTATTTTTGCTTTAATAAATTACTTTTAAAGACTAAAATAGTTTTCATGTTTACGTGCACTTATCATATCTTGTGCTCTGAAGTCTGACTTCTGATATTTTCCTTTAGACTGAAGACATTGTAGTGAGTCTCCATGCAGAAAATCGTGAGTTTTTTTTTTTGGTAGAGACAGTCTCACTTTGTCACCGTTGGTAGAGTGCCGTGGCCTCACACAGCTCACAGCAACCTCCCAACTTCTGGGCTTAAGCAATTCTCTTGCCTCAGCCTCCTGAGTAGCTAGGACTACAGGTGCCCACCACAACGCCTAGCTATTTTTTGGTTGCAGTTTGGCCAGGGCCGGGTTTGAACCTGCCACCCTCGGTATGTGGGGCCGGCACCCTACCCACTGAACCATAGGTGCCACTCCTCCATAACATTTTTGTACAAAAGAGGGGAATCACCAAGCAGGAGCTTCAAGCAGTCTGAAGGCCCTTCAAAGTAAACTGGACTCAGTTATTTGGACCTTTAGATGATTAAATAACTCACACTGATTTATTCTATAGTGAATTGTTTCCACTGATGAAGTAGAAGGGAGAAGAGATGATAGGTAAAGGAGATTCTTTGAATTCCAGAAGCATGAGGTATCTCTCGATTAGAAGGGACTTTGCATTCATGCTTCTTTCCCAGAGGTGACTTACTAGAAAATATAGTCATTTTTTTTATGATTTCTTCTTTAAATGCTAACTCAAAAAAACCGAAATCAGAGTAAAGTGGTATTTCCACTTATTTAAAAACCAGTAATTAATATTTCCAGCCCATGTACAGTAGTTTGTTCCTACCTGTTGTTAAAATTAGTACAGTAAGTAAGATTTCTACAGCCCAACTGGCAAGGTTCCCGGACATCTGCTAAACAGGTCAACATGGACACTTCCACTGGATTATATTCACAAAAGCGATCAAACTCTTGCCAACTCTGTGTATTGCCCCAGCTCATGCTATAAAGTTTAGTGCACAGTTCCCTGAAACAAAAGCACAAATGCAGAAACTTAGAGATGAGTCAAGTGAATAAATATTTGATTTGCATAAACTAGAACCCTATAAGACACATACTTTGGAACATAAATGAGGGGGAAAAAAGGACAAAAAATAAATGACTATCCTCTAGAATTTACAGCCAGAAAAAGCAATTTTTTCCACAAAAAATAGTTAGATCTTTTATATTTCTTCCCTTGTTGTAGTGTTTGCTAGAAATCTTAGGACTAAATTTAATGTTTAATCATATTTGTGCATCCTTAATTATTGGCACAATTATTTCCTTTTTCTGATTTCTTTTTTACTTAAGGTATAGCACCTGATTTTGCCTCCACAAAGATAGATTCTCCTATATTTATGTATAATCACAGGAGGCAAAACTGTGACATGGTCTTCAGAGACTACTTTTAAGAAGCATTATAAACTAAGGGTTCAATAGTTTCTCCCTGACAAATTATACCAAAGTCACCTATATTCTTTAAGATCGTTCTAGGCTTCTATATGCTATTGTAGTTAATAACAAACATTATTACTTTAGTACTAGAAGATTACAAAGCAACTGAAGTGTATGTATATAGCTAAAACAACACTTTGCTATTTTTAAAGTGCTTTCATACTTTAGTGCTTTCATTAACTTTTCATTTATAGAAGTAATACATGTTTACTAGGTAGTATTTTTGTATTTCATGCATGGGATTTTGAAATATATACTTACATAAGTAAAAATTCTCTACTCTCCCCACATTTCACTTAACTCTCATACTCTATGAGGAGGGTATCCTAACTTTTACTTTTGTTCATTCACTCTACCAATGTTTACTGAGTGCCTAGTTTGTGTGAAGGCCTGTTCAAAGCACTGGAAATGTAGTGGTGAATAAAACAGACCAAGTCCCTGGTCTCAATGGAGCTTATACATCATGGGGCTGAGGAAGCTGAGACCAAGTTAGATCAGATACCTTGATCTGGAAACCAGTCCTCGCTCTACCCCTTTACTTTCCATACAGGTTGAGTATCCTTCATCTGAAATGTTTGGGACCAGAAGTGTTTTGAATTTCATTTTTTTTAAAAATTTGAGACTATTTGCCTATACCTGATAAGATATCTTGGGGGTGAGACCCAAAATCTAAAAACAAAATTCATTTATGTTTCATATATACTTTATACACACAGTCTGAATATAATTTTATAAAATAATTTTGGTCATGAAACAAAGTTTTGGCTATCAATTTGACTGCAACCTGCCACATAATGTCAGGTATGGAATTTTCTACTTGGATCATGTCACACTTTAAAAGTGTTAGATTTTGGATTTCAGATTAGGGATGTTCAACCTGTATTTACCTTGGACATAATGACAACTCAGATTTGTTTCTTAAACGTAAAACAAATCTCCCCAATTATCTCAAGGTTTCATGAAGATCAAATCTGATGGAGATGAAAACATTCAGCAAACCATAAAACTCTACAAGTAAGAGAAAACAGTATTTCTGGGAATACATAGCAATTCCAATCTCCAGTGATTCTATGCAGGCAAAAAGTCTTTTGTGAGAGTTCAAAAACCACTTGGCATTCCTCTTATAAATGCATTTATTAAAATCTATAAGCAACATAATTTCCTTAATTTGAGGGATAACTTATTTTCTCTTTAAGCCCTTCTGTTAATTTTGTTCGAATATTTTTTAGAAAGCAAAGCAAAGTTTGAGCTATTCTAGGCATAAGTTTTTTGCTAGAGGGCCATCTAATTTAGAAACCACAGTAAAGATTGTTTTACTCCTACCTCATATTCGTTTTAGGTTATCCTAGTAGCATGTAGTCCCTTTTTATCCAAAATGCTTCTAATAAAGCAAACTTCTCTTTTGCCTGTGTTCTACCATGATCTTAGTTATCTACATTAATCTTGTCTCTAGATTTTGTTTCCTCCATCCTGTATTTGTAATTTTTAAACTTTTTTTTTCAAATTAATATGAGGGTAAAAATTTTTGGATTTTTAGTTCTTCCAAGATAAAGTTCAAGTTGTAGAAGAGCCCTTCAGCCTGGGGGTGTGCTGAATACCCTCACATTGTGCATGTTAGGTGAGATCTAGCCAATTGCCTTCCCTCCTCCCACCAGTCATCCTCCCTGTCCCTTCTCCTTGTTAGACAACATTTGTGTTTTATCATTTGTATGGGAGTGTAATTGTAAAGTCTCCATCTTTTCATATATAAACATCTTTTATGTTTACCTGGATGGAGCTGAAACACATTCTTCTTAGTAAAGTATCTCAAGAATGGAAGAAAAGTCTAATGTATTAACTTTTTATCCCTAAAGTTATCATTCAAATGAATGCCAATACACTGCTATCTAACTTTGGTTATGATTGCTAACCTGATTATTCATCTATAAAAATGTTGATTAAGTTCAAAGTTTTATGATTTAATAAAGATGAAATGCTTTAGATGTTGAATCAAAACAATCTTCTATGTTGTAAGCTTAATTACCTCTATGAGGGTAGAGTTCATATTGTATTATCTTTAGATATTTATTGCCCTGCCGTTTCTAATCTTCCACACCCCCAAACAGTGATTTTTAGCTAGCACTCAATGTACAAAACAATGTTTTGTATATACTATATGATGCTCTAGAAATACTTGCTAGATGAATTAAAGATTTTATATTTTCTAAATGCTACACCTATACAATATAAGAACATACATTTGCTAGGATTAAAATCACTAAGGTGCTATTTTCTACTGATCTTAACAAAGGAAAATGAAATACTGACCTACACGTTGAAGTGTTTGCTTTAGAACAACAATGCAATTTAGCTCCATCAAGGCCTGTAGAGGGAGGAGGGTGTACAGTGACTCCAGGGTGAACAGATTGTGAACTTTCAAGAAAACATTGCCAAAGAGGATCTTGAGGCAAGGGCTGCGTCTTACAGCCCTCGATGAGACCATCAACAATCTCCATTTCTGTTTTCTTAGACATCAGAATTCTCTTGCAGGCATTTTGGCAAGCATGGTCTTCAGCTCTGTCACAGCAATATAAACCTACATTTTCAGAATGTAAGAGACTTCATTAGCTGGCTTTGTATCATGCCTTGATCAGAGCAGAACGTGGCAGTGTCATAGAAACCATTACTACCCTTATACATGAATGTCAACATCTGCAGAATACAAGACCAACCAAATTCTCTCTCCATTACTTTGGAGGATAGCAAAAAACAAAACAAAATAAAAACCTGTAGGAGCTACAGTTGGACAAGGTGTCTAATACAGAATTCACCAATGTCCCCAATCACCGGATCTCTAGCACTGTCCTTACAAAAATAAAAGGCCATGCTATACATAAGAAATCCTCACATGAAAGGTATTTCATGTTTCTGGAAAAGGTATTGTATATGAAACTGGAATTATTTCCTGCTAGCAACTGCCTAAAAGAGATTATATTCTCAACATTAGAGAGATCACTATTTTTTTATAGTGACAAACGCAAAAACTGTATTTCATCACATTCTAAGACAGCATGCTTTACATACCTATGTAGTTAATTAATCTCAGTTTTAATTTAAATAATATAATAGGGGCGGAGTCTGCAGCTCACTGGGAAGGGTGCCGGCCACATACACTGAGGCTGGTGAGTTTGAACCTAGCCCGGGCCTGCTAAAACAACAATGACAACTGCAACAAAAAATAGCCAGGCATTATGGTGGGTGCCTGTAGTCCCAGCTAATTGGAAGACTGAGGCAAGAGAATCACTAAAGCC